TATCATTTGTTTTAAATGATGGGTTGCCATGGCAACAATAATGAAAACAAATCGTCAAATGCAATTGTTTGCACTTCACATGATTAATTCATCACCAAATTAATGCATATATTATATTAAAAGACAACAATATTTAAGACTTCAGAAAAAGAAAAAAAATGATTTTTTTAAAATTTTTCGTCAAATTGTTATTGATAATAAATAAAAACATAAGGATTAAATTGTCAGAATTTCAGTAACTTTTCCATTATTAAGGTGAATATCATAACTTAAGTAAGTCCACTTTAAAACGCATAGCTGAAACATGATAGCATATAAATTATAAACCCAATACAAAACAAATATTGTTAAATGCACTGATTAAAAAATTGATGTATTTTGGTTGCTATGATAACAAAAAATATGCAAAATTTTTTTTTGATGATTTAAAATAATGGCATTTTATAAAAAAAAAACATTCCATATAAAATAATTGTATTCACAATCATTTCCAAGGTCTTTCAGAAATTTAACCAAAAAAAAAAAAATGGAAAGAGCTTGCACTAGTTATTTTCTGACTATATTTACAGTTACAGATATTGACAGTGTAACCATATTCTGAACAGTGTATTTTAGATTGTATAATATGAATAGCATATAAGTATATTTTTTATATTGAAATATTTCAATTATTTGAAACAATTGCAATAACAGATTCTTGCAAACACATGGGAAGTCACAAATGACAGCTCACTTATGTCCTTAAATGTAGTCTTGCAACCCAATGTTGAGAGTTATACCCAAACTGGATAACAACAACCATGTCTCCTCATATGCCTTCAGTTTTAGTAAGCAAAAAGTGATTCATCTATAAAACTTTAAAAAAACTTGTTTCACAATTAAGTAAGAATACTGTAACATTTAACTTATTCAGGGATACTTCTGAAGACATAAATTGTATGAAATTGTAATTCATTTTTTGGTATACTGTCAAACATAGACAAGTCATTGACTTTTCACATGCCATCCTGAAATAACAAAAACCTGAATAAGTATAAATGAAACAATATAGTGTATAAGATGATTTGACTGAACAGAAATGAACTACAAGTAAATTGTTGTATAGTGTTGCACAGCTATTGGGTTCATATAAAGTCTTGTTCATTATATAAGTTCTTTTGTAATATAGTACGGTCTATATATCATGTAACAGTAGCATTCATCTTGAACATGACTGAAAAAATCTGAATCTGCATAATGCATGTCTATTTTGGTGAAGACACCTCATTTTTTATTTCACAAAATACATTATTTAATATGGAAAACTGCATAAATGTGCATGCTTACCCAATTGAAGTGTTTTATTTTACCATGCCTAATACAGTACAGTTGATACAAAGTGATTGTCTTTTTTACTCCATACCCCTATGCTCAATGTGGCATAGATGTCACACAATATGCCTCATTTCCAACAATAGTTTAGTATATTCATCAGCAAAAAGATGAAATATCTATGTGTTCTGAAAATTTGTACATGTATGTGTACTTTAAGAGCTTAAAACATTATTTTCAATCCATTAAAGAGTATCTACAAAAAGCAGTACAGCATTATTTTTAAATATAGACTTAGAATTTAGTTCATGTTACTGTACAGAGTTATTTAATTTTTAAACAATGTTTGTAAGATCTCATCTGACATCATATATAAAATGTTTAATTGCAAATAAGTTATATTGCTTTCAATTGCAATTCAGGAAATTTATCATTATCATTATTGATAAAAAGGGTTGAGAATGGCCAGTTCATGATGATTACTTAAATATGATATGTATACAATGATTACAATCCTAGTAAATAATTTGATCTTTAAAACAAGTATCAAAACACTTACAAGTACATGAAGGACATTTCCTTGTGGTCTTGAAGAATATGGCTATAACATGTTTTGTATTATCTACTTTAAACTGTAATGAACTTAGTTGAAGATCTTAAATGTATGTTGGCTGACCTAAAATTACAACACAAAATATTCCATCAGCAAAAAGGTACTGGCTCATAAATGATAAAAATATCCTGGTAGCAGGGCTTTTGTTAGTGGAAGTTTAGGAGTCATTTACTCCTTGATTCTTTGCTTCCAAAATGTAATGCCTTTTCTTCTTTACCTTTAAAGTGACTTCCAATTGCAGACATTTTGCACGCATTCTTTGACTGCCAATGTTTGGAACTTAATGGAAGTCCTGCTGGTAGAATAGGTTATGTGGTATTCATGAGTTATGTGAATATAAGTTGATGTATTGCAAATAGGCCTACTACCACAAGGATAACAATAATAAATGTTTTTTTAATATTAATCTATGGTGACATCTTCAATAGCATGACTAGATCTATTTGTTGTATTTCAAAAGCAGCATGCAGTACAGGGATAACATTTTTTTACTAAATTGGATCTTGAATTGTAATAGAAATTCATTTGACACTTATAACAGTTCTGTACAGCAGCATTGTCATATTCTCCTTTAAACTTTACACTGACTTTCTTGAAATGTTTTATACAATATAAATCTACTTAATGTTAATCTATATCAAGCTGATTCATTGAAAACAAACTGAAAAAAAATGTTATGTGTCCAGTGATGTAGAAAAATATTTATACAAAACTTTTGTTTTATCACTTGTCTAATATTTTCATTGCAGCCTGGACTTTTATTCATTTTGTAAGTAATGTAATCAATGTCTTATACAAAAAAAAACTAACGATAATTTTCTATAACGACCATGATAAAAAAACAATGTATCCCAAAACATTTGTCTGTCACGACCTGACCTAGATGCCTGCCTTTTTTGTTATTTATAAACCAGTTCAAGTGTCATGGTCCGCTTAAATTAAAAATACCATGATTGTTCAACATATCAGAAAAAAAATGAACAAAAAGAGCATAAATAAATTAATAAAAGATGCACTAACCTTAATATTTATTTAAACCTCAAAATCTGCAGTAACATAGATCTGACATACGTAAATGGTAGAAAATCTACATGTATATGACCTGACTGCTGGGTTTACAAAGTGTATTTTTTCTAAATATAGAGTTTTGGGAAAACAGTAAATGATTATCATGTGGAAGATGAGAAGGGATGTTCAAATATATTTATAAGGAGGATTAAGCATATGCAATATTTACAAGTGACATTCATAGGGACACTTATCATTTCCTTTACACTATAGTCTATCAGGATGATAACGATTTATCAGAAATTCGTGTTTACTTTATAGGCGGGGCTTAATATGCTAAGTGTTCTATCCCATGATTCAAAGTATCGAATAAATATTTTCAAATATAGAACATATATATAGAAAATTATCGAACACAATTTTTTTTGATGAACAAATAATTTTAGTAGGATAGAATAAATATTATGGAACAGCATATTAAATTAGAGTTATACAATATAAATATTGGATATAGACCAAAAATTATATCTATTGAATATTGCAACGTTTAACATGCCATAGCTGTGCATATTCCCGACATGTTTTGCTTTGCTGCACAAAATGGCTGCCAGAGATAAACACTAAAATATTGTCCAGCTATCACACACAGGTCACTCTGCTGGCGGGATTTCGACCAACATTCATAGGAATGATGGAACCATATATAGTTTTGGAAGACATATGTTTTTGTGACAAAAATCCTTTTAGTTTTTGTGAAGTTTAGAATTAATGATAATCTGACTATCTATTTATATTGTTGGTCTTTGCCTTTATCAATTAACATGTATTTCATTTTAATTTATAATAGAACCTTTTCCAAGTTCCATCATTAAATTTTAAAATAAAAATGTTTCCAAGTATGTATTCCATAGTACCTGTCAGTAATGTAATTGGAACTACTGTATTTTTCACCACTTAAAAGTGCACAATTTATTTTAACAATTCTTTTACATCTGCTTCTTTCATAAATGTGATAGTATGTCTGAATTATGTTATTAACTTTATAGTTAATTGAAGATCTATCCATCTAGCTAGACTTTTCAACTTATCTTTCACCAAATATCAAAATGTTTTTCACTAACTAAGACACCATATCAATTTAGATACCATAGAGCTTACTTTTGCTATTAGAAAAAATATGTAAATGGGTTATCGATTTAAAGAAAGTATTTTTGCACCAAAATTGACAGTAGTATTGTTTTCGATTTTATCGAGAGACCTAGTTGAAATTCTTTTCAACATTTTATCAAATAAATAAATATCAATTATCTAATTTTTGTAACCAATAGAAATCTCGATATCATGTCGAGGTATTTTCAAAGGATTTTTAGCACAACCATAATTATTAAATGTTATGCAACGATATTAAATGTTGTGTAACGATATTAAATGTTGTGTTACGATATTAAATGTTGTGTAACGATATTAAATGTTGTGTAACGACATTGAATGTTGTGAAACGAAATATTTTTAAATTACATTTAACATGTATTCTCAGTTAAGATGTAACATTGGAATTTTATCTTTCATATATTATTTCTTTGACTATATAATAGGGCTGTTCTAATCAGCAGAACAATAGAAATGCCAGACACGGAATAGCCATTACACTTAATGTGCGTGTCTGTGCGTATAATAAACGAAATTCATTAATAATTGCCAAAGTCAGATTAAAGTAGGCTACCTATACATTCCCGGCGCACACTGTCGTAAACCTCGTGACGTTAGTAAATCATTTTTCTAATATAAAATAACATCTGATTGTGTTGATTATTCTAAATTGCATTGTTTTATATATATTTGTTTGTTTGTTTGTTTTTGGGGGAGCGTTGGGGTGCACATTAAGATTGGTCATTCTTTTTTATCTTTGATTGGTCTCGTGTTTAAGATTCCCTCGGACAGATATATTAACATCAAAGTCTTTATTGATAATTTGCATATGCATAACTATACATTCATGCCATACATGCCAAGGTGAACATTTTTTCTTAATTTTGATATTAAAATCTTTTGCATTGATATTTTGCAGATACACCATACACAAAGAATGCAAAGGTTATCAAAAAGAATCATCCTCTGATGATAATAGTAAGCTAACATACTTGTTTTACGATTTTACTTTATACAATTATTTTAATATTTCTTGTTGCACTATTGAAAACAGGTTTGCATATTTTACACGCACATGTTTTTGCCTAGAATATTTACTTAACTATTGCAGGTAAAATCCAAACAGACACAATTGTTGGATCATCCATTGGTAACAGCTCTTCTTAGAAGGAAGTGGATATGGAAAGGTCTTATTTCAACGATCGTTAATTTTCTGCTGTATTTGGCCTTTCTGGTATTGCTTACTGGTTTTGCAATCGATTTGCGAGCTCCATATCAATTCAATAGGTAAGCGTATTATTTATTGTGCATTTACAACAATATGAAACAAAATTTTGAAAATTCATTTACAAATAAAGAATATAAATCGGCACTTGGTCATCTGTAATGATAAGAATACGTGTTCATATAATTATGAAAATCATACAACAGTACAAAAATGTTAAGCATAATGTATTTTAATTAGTTTCCGATAACATGATTGGCTCAAGCTTAACCTATTCCATATATTTGTTTTGGAACCATTTTCTCTGTTTTCATGTATAATATAATTATATGTTTTAGTATATTAAAAACATTTCTATAATAGCATCATATTAGTTTGAAAGCAAAGTGATATACCCAGTTTGACATAATTTTAACTTTGTTTCTGCTAGGGAAAGCTTGATTACTTTAAAAATCTTGTAACGCATTTTTCTTTCAGTTTTTATATCATAAATCTGATGCTCAAATGAAGATTCATCGATAATTTGAGGTTCAAAAAACATTATTTGTAAAGATATTACAGAATTAAATATTTTATGTAAATACAGGAAGATAATTAGAAATTTATTTTCGAAATAGTCTTAGCCAGTTTTTGTTCAAAAGAAAATGATTGCATAAATTTTAACGTTTAATTTAAATGTAAATAAACATTTGCTTTATACAAATAACATAGAATAGATAAAAACAGAATCCCTAAAGAAAGCCCAACACGGCAAAATTGAAAATGTTGCAGGCTCGGTTTGATTGAGCCTGTTCATGGACGGTACTGGAAAGTGCAAGTTACCGTCCACGCCCCCTAGCACCGGCTTAAGCAGAATTCAACATTTAAACATGAAATAGTAAAATTTAGAAACATCCGCAGATGTGTTCATACGGCGGTTATCATGAAACCTTCAATGTGACACTTCCGTGTCATTCCATGAAAAGCGGCGTATGGTCCCCAAGTAATAAAAAGCGTGTGCCCTAAACGAGAAAACAATGGGCGGAACTAAATAAAATGGAATTTTGAAAGAGGATCAGAGGTTATGAAGCCTGCGTATCACAGATAAGACGTCAAAAGACAAATTTAAAAAGCAGGCAACATATCCCAAAGGTGATTCAACATTATTCAAGTAGGAATATTGGAACCACCCAACTAGAAAATGCCGAAAAATTGAAACTAAAAATACCAGAAGCACAACAATAATGTCGTGCTGAACGATCTTTAAGGATCGAAAATATAACATCATTGATTAAATGTACGGGGAGACTTTTTACAGCCGGCACTCGGCACAAATAACACGGATGTGATCATAAAATAGATAAAAAAAGAATCCCTAACGAAAGCCCAACACGGCAAAATTGAAAATGTTGCAGGCTCAGTTTGATTGAGCCTGTTCATGGACGGTACTGGAAAGTGAAAGTTACCGTCCACGCCCCCTAGCACCGGCTTATATTCTTGTATGTTTGGAAATTGTTTTAGAAGAAACATTTTAATTACAGCATACATGATCTTTAAGTTTTCAATGAAATAGGGAATATCAAATCTAAAATTTTGTTTAATCATCCAAATACGGTGGCATAAAAATGACAATTGCACATTTATTTATTACTTACTTATTATTGTTTGATACTTTTTTATTTAGGTTTTCGCACATATTTTAAGTTTTTTGTTTTATACATATTTTTTTAGTTTTGCAAATATATTCCATTTTAGTTTTGCATACATTTTTTTTTCAGTTTTGCATTAATATAATTATATGTTTTTTAGTTTTGCCTACATCTTTTATTTTATTTTTGCATACATATTTTTTCAGTTTTGCATACATATTATTTTTTTTTTAGTTTTGCATACATATTTTACTTTAGTTTTTCGTACATATTTTTAGCCAATAAAGACTGTCGCCTTTACATCTCATAACATCCCATAGTTGAGAATATAACACGATTACAATAGTAGCACAGTGGTTGGTCACCTTTCGGCCCACTTTTGGAATCGGCCAAGTCTGGTTTCGGCCGACCCTTTTTGACCCACTTTTTAAACCATATGTATTTTACATATTTTTTTATATATACATGTATATACTATTAAGGTAGTGTAATATCCCAGGGTCACATCTCTTGCACAAACTTACCTGGTTTGTACTGTTGTAATGTAAAATCCACACTTTGTTTAATTTATCTATTTACTCTCTTTTATTCAATGTTTATTCACAGTAATATTTTTATCATACATAATTCAACATACATAGGCTGTCATAAATGCATAATGAATGTTTGTCTATTTAATATCTGCTGTCTGTTTATTTTCATACTGAAGGTGGTTTCTTAAACTGGAACGAACTTTAAATGTCAGCCTCGTACGTAACACAATTGTATACAGTTTTCGCGAAATATGGAAACATCTCTTTTTATCTTTCTCAGACAAGCTAGTGTTAAACTGTTGATTGTATTTGATAAAGAAATCCTAGAAATGTCTTACCACAGAGCAAAACCACTTTATTAATCATATAATCCCTTTATTTTGTCATTGTTTTTAACAGCACTGTGAATACACCTGTCGTCTTGCAGGCGGCCATTTTGTTACTTTTTTTATATACTGTAAACACGACGAGCACTTGCATAGCAACCCTTCCACAAGAAATTCTGTGGCCCCACAAAAAAAGTCTGTGGAGCGTTCTTTCCACAAGCTTGTGGAATTTGTGGGGACTGTGGCATGATAAATAGCCCCGTCTGCCTTCAGTCGGGGTCTTCCAACTTCGAAATTTTTCATGTTACACCGTATTTGATCGTTCACTGAAATTTGATAGCTTAAAATACTTGACTGAATTTAAAAGGTGTGCATTATTTTTTTAACGTAAAATAAGTAAATTTCTTCTTTGAATTAAAGGAAATATAAATTTTTTCTCTTTATTACATCTGCATAATATTATACTCAATATTTTTTGCATTTTTATTTTATCTTGGGATTGACAGATACGCGTTCATTTTAGTGGTTACGCCCGCGGCTGTCCACCGTGTTTTATGACCTATTTCTATTCTTTAGAATAATTTTTATTTAACGAAATCTTTTCTTTCTTCTTGTTTTTTGTACATGTTTATTAATTGTGAAATAATATTTATCTTGCAATAAATCTGTTGATTCTAGAAATATTGTTTTCCTTCTGCTTAGTTAAGGTGTTTCACAAGATTGTTTTTTTTTAAATAATAATTAAATAGTTGGAAGTCCAAACGTCAAGAAGCGACCAACAGAGCAAGCATTCAAGTCGGCCCTAGTATTTACAGTCACGGTGAGCAGCTGAAACTGTGATTAGCCTACGTTAGAAAAAGTCAACTCGCAGCTCACATTGAAAGGTTGCTAAACACACTGCAAAGTCATATTGAAACAGATCCTGACAGCTCATTTAAAGAGAGATCCTACTAGATCACTGTTAAGGCTCACACCACCAAGCGCGGGGGCGTAACATTTTATGATGGCAGCGGTGGGATCTACTGATTTTCAAGGCTAGATCCAGAAATTCGAACCTGTACTTGGTGCCACCAGAGGGATTCATTCATCACTAACAGACAGCGACAGCATGGAGAGCCCTAGACCTGTCGACAGCGAGGGAGTGATAAGTTTCAAGGATGGTCAGCAGACAGTAGGAGCACAGGCCAGGACGTTTGACTTCGAGACGGCCGACGAAATGTCTGATGTGGCTTCAGTGTTGCTTCGATACAGATGAAGAAAAGTGAACAAGAGAACACCAATGTGAATGCGCCAATAGAAATATCAGCTGTGATGAGTGGGAGTAACAAGCGTATTGCGAGATGTGGTCAAGGAACTGCAAGAGGCTGAAGCAGGCCCCTAACAGGCAAGCAAGTGTTGACGACAGCTCGCAGCGATAAGATGCACGAGGATCCCGTGCGGAACAAGAAGCAGGGGTGTCTTATGGGGTAGAAAGCGGGTATGATGTCCCAAGGAGAGCACCTATAGACTATGGGTTATGGCGATCACTGTGATCAGGCTTACGCAAGAAGACCTTATGTCAATAGTCATAATAGTCATGCAATTAATGTAAAGATTCCTTCTTTTACAGGCAAAGAAGACTGGGCGACGTGGATAAAGCCCGTTTCGAAGCTGTTGCCTACAGGTATGGCTGGGGACGAGAAGAGAGGTTAGACCAGGTTCTGCCTTGAATAGAGGGTCCAGCGAGCGAATTTGTATTCACTCAACTGCCCCAGCTGTCGTTCAGAGCTATGATGACCTGACTGCAGAGCTCAACAGCCGATACAGGAGAATTAGAAAACTGCGCGATCCTTTGCTGCTAAATTCAGCAAACAGAACTCAAGGGAGCGGGGAAACAGTTGAAGAGTAAGCGGCGGACCTGAAGAGGTTGTATGACAAGGCGCATGGCTAAGGGATAGGAGACGAGGGACGAGGCTCTGGTCAGAAGATTCCTTGAATGGGCTCAAGGACGGAAGAGATGAAGTTTTTGATAGAATATCACAAAGAGCCGTCCAACATTGACGAAGCGGTGTGTTCATGTGTAAAACTTTATACAGACCGAGGAAACTGCGAACGTGACGAACTTACAGACATGTGTGTCGTCGCTCTCACAACGGAACGCATGGTGAGCTGGCCAGTGCGAAAGTGTGAACCGTTAAGCTGAATGGAATAATCACTTGAAAACAGGATGAGCTAGAGGCCAGAGATGAATGGTGCTCTGACCCAAAAATTTAGAGAGTTATCTAAGTGGGGTAGTGGCCCAGGAAGCGGAAAAGTACGAACCGATCTAATCAAATCAAACAAAGAGGGATTCGAATCACATTGTCATAAGCATGGGACATTACAGGAATTGCCCAGCAAGAGTGTCTAAAGCTGGAGGGCTTTGGAAGGTGTCGAAAGGCATATCCGCGAAGAAACCTTTAAATTCAATGGAATTCCGACTCTTGGGCTAAAGAGAGGCCGATGTAAAGATAGGGATAGGGCAAATAAACAGAATCAGGGACAGAATTCAGAGAGTATGTAATGTGAAAAGTGAAGCGACTGGATTAAAGAAAGA